GGTGTCTGCAGACAAGACTTTTTTAATTTTTGATGTTCATTAAAATCTTGTGAGTCACTATCATAATTTTTATCAGGTTACTTCTGTACTCTAAACACATAAGTCTAATGTTAAAATATAGTTTATAGAAATTTTTATGGTATATAATAAACACCTTAAAGTATTCATTAAAAAGTATACATGAAATACAAAATAATACCTTAAGATATTACGATGTTCAGTAAAAATAATTTTAAAGCTAAACGTTAACGGAGTTATTAAGTGTATACTTTAGTAAACAAATAATAATTAAAACTTAGCGAAGTATTTGTTTTACTCAATGCCAAATGAAAAAATAGGAAATTATAAAGAAATATAATTAAGGTTGAGTAAATATATAAAATTAAGGAAAATGAAAGTGGAGGATGATGACAATGATGATGAGATCATATAAAATATAGCATAAAAAACATATATATATATATATATATATATATATATATATATATATATATATATATATATATATATATATATATATATATATATATATATATATATATTATAATGAATTTGATTTAAATACATAAAAAACACAAGTTTAAGTAAAATTTTAGGATGCATTAACATTTAAGCAGCTCTGGTCATAGATCAGCAAATTGAATCAGTGAATTCTTGTGTGATATAATGCTGAGAAGATCAAAATGCTAAATTACCCTCTAGTTAACAATATTCTTATCTCACTTATCTGAATCGTTATCAAATAAAGCTTCAATTTCACTAACTTTATTATCAATTTGATAAGAAATATTAAGGGTTATTATCCAGAACAGTGATGTTGGAAGGTTCATTATCTGAAGTGTTCCATCCATGTTTTTTGCAATTGCTTTGAACGACTGTTTTGGGAAAAGCGTCAATAGGCTGAGGAAAATAAAACCCAGTTTTACCTATGTAATCATAGTTATAAGCTCCATCAATAACCACTTCCCCTTAATTGATTTTGGACAAATAAATAAATAAAAGTTAAAATAAAATTCCTTTACTTTCTCAATTTTTTTTTCTTTCTGTCCAATAGCTTATAACTAAAACTAAGATTACTAAATATACAGGATGTAATATATAACGAAAATTATATACTTGAATAAAAACATAAATATATTTTTCTCTCCGTAAAAATTGCATCTACATTAAAAACATTTTGCGCCACGCATTTTTGTACCTTTCGCAAGCCATTAATAATACGCTTATGGTTCGGCAATGGCTAGTCAATTCTGATTCGCTAGCTAAGGCCCTTAACTGGATCACATGTGTTTTGCCAGACCTGACTCGCCAGCTCTGGCCTATGAATATACAGCGGATTGTGTATTTGCATATTTATACTTAAAAAATAGGTTAAAATATATGTTATATTTAAGACCATAAAAAAATAATTTTTATTAACTAAAAAACTATTAACTAAAAGCGAAAAATATTCATTATTATCAATTTTTGGCAATATTTTTTTTTGAAACTTTCATATAATTTTGCTTAACTTGAGACCCATTATGATATAGTTTATACATAATACTAATGATATGACCATTATGATATAATTTATACATAATACACTAATATAATTTTTTTTTTATAATTATTAGGAACTTGTTATGTTCCTAATTGTCATAAAAAACAATTATTGTTATAAATTAAAATGTAATATATAATATATGTAATATATGTATATATATATTACATTGTAATTTATATATATATATATACATATATATATACATATATATATATATATATATATATATATATATATATATATATATATATATATATATATATATATATATATATATATATATATATATATATATATATATATATATATATATATATATATATATATATATTTATATATATATATATATATATATATATATATATATATATATATATATATATATATATATATATTGTCAGAGAAATGGTAAATAATAAAATAATTAATGAAATTGCACTTATTTAAGGTAATAGTCATAACAGTAAAAACAAAATAACAGTATATAAGGAAATAGTCATATATAAGTCAGATATATAAGGAAATAGTCATATTAGTAAAAACAAAATTTTAGATGGAAAAAAACTTGAAGCAATGACCAGAAAAATATCAAACATATAGAACATATTTATCTAAAGTTTAAAAAAAAATGATTAAAATCCTACATTCAGATTTTTAGAAAATTAATTTCAAATAAATAAACAAATCTATGATTTACATTAAAAAAGTTTTAAGTAAAAACACAGTTTTTGCGCGCAAAGATATTTGTTACCTTTATTTATTTATATTTTTGTGAAATTATTGTATTATTTTATTTATTTACGTTAAAAATAAGGCTATATCATTAGCTTTTCAGAAATTAATTAACCAAAAAACTGTTGCCATATAAAACATTCTCTGTAGTTAAGATCCGTAGCAATTTTAAAAGTTCAAAAGTTTTTCGTATTTTCTTACGCATGCGTACCTAAACGTAGTGCTTTTTGCTAATATCTAAACGACCGCTATATATAATATATTATATTATATATAGCGGTTTTAGTTTATATTATGTTATTTTTTTGCTTTTTATACCTCAAAACGTTACTAATTATTGTGATAATCGGTCAACATTTTCAAAATAAAGGTTACATGAGTGTTTTACTAGGTAATATCAATAATTTTTATTATAATTGATTTGTTGCTACAAATGCAATTTTTATTCTATAGATAAAAACATTGGTTCGCTATTTAAAGCGTAGTTTTTAAATTGGATTATTCATAGCGCAAGTATCTCAACATTTCCTGAAGTATGAACTTCTGCCAAAATGCAACAAAAAGTGAAAAACTTAAAAAAATGGGCTATCAGTTGGTAAAACAAAAAAAATGTTTCGACTGAAAGATTATTTATTGGTTATTGAAACTTTCTTATATACAATGACTTTTAAAATGAGGTGAAAAAAATTTGCTGTTTTTTTCATTACATTACCATCCCATTGCATCTGATTAAATTGTAAGAGACGTACTTTGGTTTTTTTTACAAGAAAATGTTTATAATAGCCTAATTTAATCTTTTAATCAAATACTATTCAATATTTTTACATGCAATCATATTAACCATATTTACTAACAGCAGGTTAGGATTATCCCAGACAGCAAGTATATACTGGTCTGATAATGGCTAGTCAATGCCAGCGAATTCATTAAAGGACCAGTAAAGTTCCATTCGTGGATTGCCAGTTCTGGCAAGTCATAACAGGACCATTGCCTAGCCTTTATAACATTGCATGGGCAGGTTAGCCGCGATAGTACCAATAGCATGCCATTTATGGTTTGCCGGAGCAGATGAATAGACATTGGGCCAATATCGGCCGACCAGTGCCGAACCAATTTGAATTAATATGAAAAAACTTTAGTTCTCGCATCCAGCTTGTTTTTAACGTTTCATGTAAATGTATATTCCTCAGATTCTTTATTTGTTAACAAATATGTGCAGGCGAGATACTGTTCCAGTATATTTTCTTTTACTTCATTACTTTAAAACCTTTTGAAGATTATATTTTATTAAACAGAGTTTTTGTTTTTGAAAATTTTTTCAAAAAAATTATTGCAAATTAATTATATTGTTAAACGAAACAAGTTTTTTATTGTATTGTTAGTTCATTGCCTTTGAATATGAGCTGCAATAACTCAAAGTTTGATGCTACTCCGGAGAGTTTTAAACCTATTGGCACATCTATTTTTTCTTTAAATTTAGTGTTTCATGATTGTCAACAGCTTTGATGGAATTTGGGAAACCAATGACGGAAAATTAAATAGTTCAGAATCAATTTTATCCATAGAAAAGTCAAATGTTATAAATGTCCTAGTTAACGATTTGACCAGTTGAGCAACTAGGCACAAAATTACACATGCAGCTTTGGGTGATTTATTGGTTATATTGCAAAAATCATTTCCTGGCTTACCAAAAAGTCCCAAATCTATTCTGAAAAACGCTTACCTTTGCAACAAGTTTTAAGAAGGCTATCAGAACAACATCTTGCAGAGTCAATCAATAGTCAAACTAATAGCACACTCTTCCAGTTAAAAAAAGAGCATTTTATGGACACATTTATATTCAATAGTGAGAATATAAATGTGCAGACTCAACACAAAGAGCTCTGTACAAAGAAATTTTGTATTAAAGTTTCGCAAGGTGACAATTGTTTTAAAATAAAAACTGGCTCTATAGTTCTAGTTTAAAATGTTATTAAAAGTTGTTGTGGTCAAATTTATCTAGTGTGCAGCAATTTTGATAGTGTTGAGAATTTTCCACCTACCCTTGCAATTTAGATATCATTGATATTTTTATGGTATTTTATTTAGCTAAGCATCTTTCATATGTTTTATTATCAGAAATAAAACAAATATTTGTTTTACTGCCTTACAAAGCTTACTTTGCTACTATACCTTTGCTATACAATTTTAGTTAAATAAGTTTATTTTTAATCTTATATTGCACTTGCTCTGACTATTCTTGACTTGGAGACATATTCAACTTTTTTTATTAACAAGTTGTAATAGGTTCTTTTTATAAGTTTAGTATTTTAATAGCAATATATGAAGACTTAGTTATCGATAGCCAGTGTAAGCAATTTTGATTTTATATACCATTCTGAACATTATTTTATTTAAAATATAATTGGAGCTAAGAAATGTTTTTTTTTTTAGATTATGTATTATTCATATCTTTATAAAAATTGTTATTTTGTTTAACTATTAGTTACTATTAATTATATATATTTGTATAAGTATATATATATATATATATATATATATATATATATATATATATATATATATCTATATATATATATATATATATATATATATATATATATATATATATATATATATATATATATATATATATATATATATATCTTTATATAATAATACTGAACTTAATAGTAGTAGTACCCTTTCGAGCACGTTTGACATAAAACCCAACGCAGCCATTGCAACCGAGGTACTGGCGAGGAAGAGTCGCAGCACTTTTTTATAAGAAAACATTAACGAAAGTGTGTGCTAATAACTAATTTACGTAAACTTCAAAATGCGAAATGTCAAAACATACTAAAACATGTATCAAGTTTTTAAGTTTTACTTTCACTTGAAAACTGCATTGCGGCAACATCTCCTTAAATTTTGACCGATAGCTGTTTTATAAAGTTTTTCGTTAAATATATATTTTTAAAAATTTCACGAATAGATAAGACGGCGTAGCTTCGTCGTCAGCTTGCTTAGCTACTAATCAGGGGAGCCGGGGTTCAACTCCCGTGCCTGGAACTCTTTTTTTTAATCTTTTTCAATTTTTTTTTAAATACAAAACTTATCACTTTTGAAGATGTATAGAGATTATATAAAACACTTAAACAAACGAAAGGAAGAGAATTTTTAAAGAAAGCTTAAAAGTTCTAAAAACGTCAAAAAACAGGAGAAATTTGTTGCACTTATTTGTCATGTTATTTTAGTTTTACATTTAAAGTTTTCTCCAACTAAGTTGAGATTATGCAAGAAAAATTAGTATATAACATGTATATATAGAATATAAAATCTATAAAACTATAAAGTGCATTTAAAAAAAAAAAGCAAGCTGATGAACTTGCCACGCGGCGACCTAAAATTTTTTTAAAACAGTAAGGGGGTTTTAAAAGTATATTTTTATTAAAAGAATAACTCAAAATTTTAAGTTTAGATTTAAAATAAATTATTTTATTAAATTTATTACTTTTTAAAATGAAAAAAAAGTTGAAACTATCTGATATCAAAGTAATAAAAAATATTTTTACAGCTACTTTACTACGCCCCAGTTAAATATTCTAAACCGAGTGCGCAACAATGACAGAATTAAGAAAACCATCAAAATAGTATGATACTCCGTATAATATTGGAAGAGTCAACTCGAACGCCTATAGCTGATCTGAACTGAACTGCACGAGGCATTGTAAAATGTGCACACAAGATTTTTGTATTTCTTGAAATGACATATTATCTTCTATTATTATTGTCATAAATGATATAGTTATTGTTGTCATAAATTGTTGTCATAAATAGTATAATTATTGAATATACTTATATAAATAGTATGTATTTTTTAATTTGTTTTTAAAATTACTGAACTTTAAATTTCTAATGTTTTACATAATGAAACATTCTGTTTTATAGGTGTTGCATTGATTTTTGACAGGCTGATAATTTTATACAAGCTAAAGACGACCATTTTTTAAATATAAGTAAGTTTTTTTTTTGTTTTTTTTTTATTGGTTTTGAATAATTTTATGTAAAATATTCAATTGTGTTTTATATGAATCTAAGTATTTAGTAAAGTGTTATTGTGTGTATGTGTTAAGTGTTACAAAACATTGTTAGTTAATTAAAATTAAATAACAATATTTTGTTTGGTATTTTAATTTTAGTGCAACAGGTTATAACATATTGTAGGTTTTAATTTCTAATTTTTCTTCATCTTTACAACTGATTAAGAAAAATATTAATTTTTGCTAATGTGATTGTGTTATTCTATTTTATGAGATATTTTACTAATAATTTGATTGCTCTAAATTATATTTACTTTTTCGATATTTATTTTAGCCAATTAAGTTGAAACAATCTCTGCAAGATTAAAATTAGGTTTTATAATTAAGTATGAAATTAAAATATCGTTTAGCAATTTCGATAAGAATAAGGATGTGGGCCCTTATCAATTGAGATAAGAGCCCACATCCTATAGTGTACATAGAGTGTGGGCCCAGAACAAGAAAAAAAGGTTTCCCCTTATTAAAGAGGAAGAGAATACTCTTATCTAAAGTTGTTGAAAAGATGTACATCCTGTTTCTACACTAAACACCATCAATATTTTAGTCAGCAGAACATGCAAAATGTTAAAATAATTTGCTGCTGTGGCCGTGTTTATGATTCTCAGTGTCAGAATAATACTTTATTTTCAGTTTAGATTTTGTGAATACTTTAAATTGCAGTTAATAATTATTATAATAATCAACAATAATCACTGAATTCTGTATGTTTTTAATCGATAAGTCTATTTGTTCATTGATGTGTCCTTATCTGTTATTTTTTTTAATAAGAGGTTCTTATTTTTAATAAAAAGAAATATTCTTTTATTGTTGTTGTTTGTTTGTTTGTTTTTATAATTTTACCTTTTCTCATGATGGTAGAGTTATTTTTCATGTTTAACTGCATTTTAATTTAGTTGAATTTTATTTTTTTCTTAAGTTTTACTTTAGTGCTCTACCAACAATCATAAATTTACTTTATCTACAATAAAATATGGTTTTAACTTAAAGTAAACTTTTGTCATTTAAACTTTACTATGTTGATCATTACCTAATAGTGTAAAAAAAAAATTAGTACGTCGCAATCAAGGTTAGAATAATTTTTTTTTCTATTCTGTTGCTGTTTGTTTACAAACATTAAATACTTTTTAGTTTTCAGGTTTTTTAGTTTTTCTATACATTGCAAATTAGTTTCTATGTTATTGTTAATAAATTTCTTTATTCTATTTAGAAACATTAGAAAAATCAAATGTTAAGCAAAGTGCCATTATAATACATTTCTGTTTTATTATGTCAGTTAAAAAATTTATTTATTTTTTTAATTTTTTTTTTTTGCTTTCGCAGGATCAGTGTCAAGTAATGTGTTTTGCATAATTATGTATTTTTTGGGTGTCCTGTGTATTAAAACTGAAACATATCATCTTTATATAATAATACGGAACTCAATAGTAGTAGTTCCCTTTCGAGCACGTTTGACACGAAAAACACGAACCCAACGCAGCCATTGCAACCGAGGTACTGGCGAGGAAGAGTCGCAGCACCTTTTTATAAGAAAACATTAACGAAAGTGTGTGCTAATAAATAACTTACGTAAACTTCAAAATGCGAAATGTCAAAACATACTAAAACATGTATCAAGTTTTTAAGTTTTACTTACACTTGAAAACTGCATTGCGGCAACATCTTAATTTTGATCGATGGCCGTTTTATAAAGACTTTTATTTACTATATATTTTTAAAATTTGTTCAATTGTTCATAGTGGCATAGCTTAGTGGTCAGCTCGCTGGCAGCTGACCTGAAGAGCCATGGTTCGAATCCTACCTATGGCTTGTTTTCTTTTTAAATTCATTTTCGATTTTTCTAAAGTACGAAATAAAGAATATGTATAGAGATTATATACTTAACAAGTGTAAAAATATTTTACACTTAAACAAACGAAAGGAAGAGAAATTTTAAAGAAAGCTTAAAAGTTCTAAAAACATAAAAAAACAGGAGAAATTTGTTGCGCTTAGATGTCATGTTATTTTAGTTTTACATTTACATTTCTCCAACTAAGTTGAGTTCGCGCAAGGAAAATGAGTATATAACATGTGTATATATATAGAATATAAAATCTATAAAGTGCATTTAACAAAAAAAGCAAGCTGATGATTTGAACTTGCCACGCGGCGACCTGAATATTTAAAACAGTAAGGGGGTTTTAAAAATGTATTTTTATTAAAAAAATATTTAAAAATTTTAAATTTAAGATAATTTATCTTATGAAATTTATTATTTTTTAAAATGAAAAAAAAATTAAAACTATCGATATTAAGGTAATAAAAATATTTAGAGTTTTACAGCTAATTTAGAACGCCCCTGTTAAATATTCTAAACCGAGTGCGCAACAATGACAGAATTTAGAAAACCATCAAAATAGTATGATTCTCCGTATGTGATTGGAAGAGTCAACTCGAACACTTTAAACTGATCTGAACAAACTGCACGAGGCATTGCAAATGTTTACTCGGTAAGATTTTTGTATTTCTTGAAATGACATTGTATTTTCTATTATTGTTGTCATAAATGATATAATTATTGAATATACTTAAAAAAATAGCATGTGTTTTTGCATCTGTTTTTAAAATTACGGAACTTTAAATTTCTAATGTTTTACTTAATGAAACATTCTGTTTTATAGGTGTTGTATTGATTCTTGACTGGCTGTTAATTTTATACAAGCTAAAGACGACCTTATTTTGAATATAAGTAAGTTTTTTTTTTTATAATTAATTTTATGTAATTTTATGTAAAATATTCAATCGTGTTTTATATGTATTTAAGTATTTAGTAAAGGAATATTTGCCAGTGTGACCGAGCGGACGACATTCTGAAATATCTATCGAGGTTTGAGTCCAATCGTTAGAACCTTCTCTTTTTTTTTTAAATTTTTTATTGGTTTTTTTAAAAATTCAAAAATAGAACACAATAAAAAGAGAACTATGAAATTGTTTTGTTTTGCTTTTTAATAATTAAAGCTTTCCGCGACAAACTTTTTTTGAACACAGTCAGGGGGATAAAATAAGTTGTTTCTATTAAGAATATGAGTAAAAAACTTATTTTATATTTAAAATAAATCATTTTTTCCAACTTGGTTATTTTTTAAAATGATATAAAGTTAAAATAACCTAATCTTAAGATAATAAAAAAGTTTAAAGTTTCATATCTGCCCCCGTTAAACATTTTAAACCAAGTGCTCAACAATGACAATTCAGATAACTATCGAAATAGTATTATACTGTGTTTATAGTTTTGAAAGAGTCAACTCAGACCGCTATTAACTGGTTATGCACAAGGCATTTTAGATTTGCAAGCGGTAAGTTTTGTATTTCTAGAGATATCTTAGATTCTATTATCATTATCATATAAGTGATATAATTGTTAAGTATGCTTTTATTTATATGTAGTATGTATTTTTTAATATGTTTTTGAAGTTGCTAAAGATTTTAATGCTTTACTTAATGAAACAGTCTGTTTAGTAGGGGATGAATCTTGACAGGCTGTTAATTTTATAGAAGCTAATGTTGACCTTATTTTAAATATAAGTAAGTTGTTTTTATTATTATTTTTTTATTATTATTGGTTTTAAATAGTGTTGGATATTCAATCGTATTTTTTATGAATCTAATAATTTAGTAGAGTTTTATTGTCTGGAGGTGTTTGATATTCAGGTAAGATTTTATTAAGTTAATTTATTTTAAAAGAATCTTTTAAAATTTACTTGTTAAAAATTTTACATTTGCGTTTTTTTCAATTCCAAAATTTGTTTCTATTTTTTTAATATTAAGTAAATTTTTGGTGAAGGATTCTGTTTCTGCATTAAACACTATCAAAATTTTAGTCAGTAGAACATGCAAAATATTGAAATGATTTGCTGCTGTGACTGTGTTTATGATTATCCACGGCAAGATGGTATTTTATTGTCAGTTAAGATTTTGTGAATACTTTAAACTGCAGTTTTTTATGTATTATAAATTGTTTTGTATTACAAACTTTTTAAATTTTGTTATTTTATTTCTTTAGTTCTACTTTGGTACTTTAGCAACTATCATAAGTTTACTTGGTCTACTGTTAAATATGGTTTTAACTAAGTAAATTTTAATTATATCAAATTTACTTTGTTGATCATAAGCTAATAGTTTATAAAGAATTTAGTCTGTTGCCATCAAGGTAAAAATAATTTTGTGTTTCAGTCAAATTACAAAATTTGTTTGCCCTTGTAGCTTTTATGTTTCGTTATTTTGTTTAATTGACTTTTTCATTAATTTTGTTATTAATTCCTTTTCATTTCAAATTTTGCCCGTTTTTAAAAATGCTATATAAAAATAGCAGCAGGCAAATTGATTTGTAGTATTACTATATAAAGATTATTATATAAAGATGTTTTTAATTCTATCATATGATAATTTTTCATCGTAGATATATCTTACGATGCTTTTTCAGCATATTGCAGTTCGCGAGGCACATAAGTTGTGGTCCCGAATTTAGAGCAAAAGCTCGCTCTCTTCCGCCATTTTTTTTTCTTTTTTTTTCTTAATAAGGATCCTGTAAAAAATAAAATATGAGAAGGATCCTTAGTATGGATCCTGTAAAAAATAAAATATGAGAAGATAGCGGTGGGAAAATATTGCGCTATATCTTTAATTAGTATTTTTGTAGTTAGTTAATAATACAGATGTAGTAGAATTTTTTTTTGTAAATAAAACTTTTATATATTTTGTTTCGTTATCATGTATAAATAAATTGATTTACAGTGGTGTTATTATTTCTTTTTTGAAAAAAACTTATTAGTTTGTGACATAGAATTGACTTGGTCGTTAAGTAGAATGCCAAGAATATATATGACGGTTATTGTTGATAAGGGTGATTAATAGGCAAGTAAACTATAAACTAACTTTATATTGATTTTATTTGTAGACCTAATAAATAGGAAGATAACATAATTCAGGTAATTATTGTTTTCAGTTTTTCTCCGAATAGTTAATTAAACTTTGATATCTTATATTAAAAAAATATGACCATTCGAGTAATTATGACGGTAATTTGTATATCTGACATGTAAACTTCATGTTCTGTAATTAGTAATCAGTATTTTTATAAAGTAGATAATATAAATTTTTACAGATTTACTTTAACTTGAAAATTTCATCTCCTTATTTTATATGCCGTTTTATAAAGTTTAATAAGTCTTCTGTTTTTGAAACAGTGTTAAAAGATAATACAGCATGCCAAAGTGGTTGAAATGCTTCGCTTGGGTTAAAATCCTTTCGCTTACACTCATAATTTTTTTAAATATTTTCCAAATTTCTAGAAAACAAAGTAAAACATTTTTAAAGGCCTATAGATATTATATGCATTACATATATATAAAGATATTATATATTATAACAAACTAAAGGGAGAGAACTTTTTAAAACGCTGTGTAAAATTTCTAAAAACCTGAGAACACTGTTTGAAATTTGTTGCGCATATGTCATGGTAGAGATACTTTAGTTTTGGATAAATTAGTTTAGTCTGCGCATTTAAGAGACAACTTTTTCTCTAATAGAAAAAAAGTTTTACATGCAAACTGAAATTTTCTTGAAAATTAACTGGGCAAGAGTCCTAACAAGTATCGGATGGTATGAAAAAAAAATTATAGTCTGAAACTTAATAAAAAAAAACTTAACACAAACAGAAAACCCAAAAATGCTAAAATTACGTCATAACTTTAGTTCCGCCAAATCCGGTAATAGGAATGCTCAAATATAAAATAGAAATATTAAATGATTTTTGTATGTCGATATATGCGCCAACTCTTAAACGACTGTAAAACTACCTTGCGGTTATCTAATTAAATCCACAAAATCCGATAATAAAAACAGCTCAATTAATAGATTTAAAAATCATCTGATTTTTGCATTATGATATGTGCGCCAACTGTACTCTAAAACCACTAAAACTTGGCCATGCTTTCTCTCCTTATTCAAATCGATTATACAACAAGGAACTGCAAACTACAATACAGCAAAGAACTACAAGTAAGTTTCATCTCTATCGTTTACAAGTTTACTTATTTTATTCATCCATTTAAAAAATTAATTTTAATTCGGAACTAATAAAGTTATTATGCTTTTGACACAAGAATAAACATTAAGATTATATTTTAGAAATGAGCAGCCAAAATACAGAAGGTTAGAGTATTCTTTTTATTTTATATAAAATTAATAAATTAACGAGATAGAAAGAGATGATACGAAAATAATGTTGAAATATTTAGTTTATTATTTTATCAAGAGATTATATATAGATAAATTTGTATGTCTTTAGGCGACGAAGAAGTTTCAGAATTTTTTAGAAGTAAGCCACAATATAATTATACCATATATACTACGTATAGTTGCAGTCATGGCTCCCCACAAAGGGAGGTGCAGTTGGTACTCTAGCACTAGGATCCGGAGAAAATGGAGTTCGGCTTTAAATCTTTAAAATTTTCAGTCTCATTAAGTTGAAAAATCAAATCGAAAAATTGACGATTTGATTTTTAACTTTTCAATAACATTTAAACATCTAAAAACCTAATCTTTTTTAAAAGCAAAAAACTTTAAATAAATACAAAAATGATTTAGATTGTGAAAGCAAAAGCGGTTTCTTAAATAAAAAACCTTATAAGTTTATTGTGGCCAAAGAAAAAAAATTTTTTTATTGTATGCAATGCAATAAGGGTATGTGTGTGTGCTTTTTGGTTAGGGGGAGGGGGCCGCAGAGAGCTCTAGCATGGGGCCCGGTTTCAAGATGTGGGGGCCATGGTTGCAGTTGCATATGTTCTAAAATTTAATTAAATAAAAAATATTTAAAATAATTTTTGGACTTTACAAGGATGCACCCGAAATTTGGTTATTGTTTATTTCCCCTATTTTAAATTGATGTTTTTGTAAAACAGTGAACCTTGAAAATGTGTGTAAACTTTATTTGACATGCTAGAATCTTAAATGCTAAGTTTCGGAGTAAAACGAAAATATTCTTTAAATTCTGAGTTTCGGTTGCGTCGTGAAATGTCAAACAATTAAGTTCAGACATTTTTAACAAAATTAAAAAATAAATAAAAAAGTTTGTTGAATTGAATAAGTGAATGGTATATAATATATAAAGTATATAAATTTTGTAAATATATTTTAGATGTTCAAGAGATAAGTGAAAAAGAATTATCCTCATGTAAGCTTCATTTATACACATATATATATATATATATATTATATATATATATATATATATATATATATATATATATATATATATATATATATATATATATATATATATATATATATATATATATATATATATATATATATATATATATATATATATATATATATATATATATATATATATATATATTTATATTTCACTATCTGCAATGTGTTAGTTATAACTTTTTGTTATGTTTAGCGAAAATGGACAAACTAAGTCAGCAATTTTTTTGTTGTATTTGTTTTGTTTTTTTTAAGTCCAAATATATTAATACATTTTTTAATTTTCATAAAGTTATATATATTCTATATTCAGCAAGTTAGTTTCTTTTTTAAAGTTTATAGGCTTTTTTATTTTGTTTAGAAACCTTGGAGGATTCAGTTGGTAAACAAAGTTTGAATATATTTCATTTGTGTTTAAAATGCTATACTTTTTATAAATAGTATAGCATTTTACTTCCAAAAAAGTCTATTCTATGGTCTTTTTGCTTCTTTTAATTAACTTTTTACCCCTTTCCTTAGGTTTTATATTACAACAACTTAGTAAGTAAATATTTTATTTTGTTTTAGGATTAATTGTTGTTTGTTGTGTTTTTATTTGTTGTACTGTTATAGAGGTATAATATATTAGATATAAAGAGATAAAACATTACATGATTTATGTGTTAATTAAAATTAATTTTTTATTTATTTTCTATTTTGATGCCGTTTGTTTTCTGCAAACAATATTAAATACTTTTTAGTTTTGTGGTTTACACTTATTTTATACTTTGCAAGTTAGTTTCTATGTTATTGTTAATAAATTTCTTTTTTAGAAAAATTAGAAAAATCAAACGGTAAGCCAAGTGCGACTATAATACATTTCTGTTTTATTATATTAGCTAAAACATTTCTTTATTATTATTAGTATTATTTTTTTTTTTTTTTGCCTCCACAGAAGCACCAAGAGGATCAATATCAAGTAATGTGTTTTGCATACTTATGTATTTTTTGGGTGTTCTGTGTATTAAACTGAAACATACTTATACAGATTTATAGGTGTTATGCGTATTAAAACATAAGCATTAAATTTTTTTATTTTTTATGTAGTTTTATGAATGTTTGGTTTGTGCTAATTTAAAATTTAGTTTTTTTTTTGCCTCTCCAACAGCACCCCTGGCAAACATTTCAGGTAGTGTGTTTTGCAAACTTATGTATTGAAACATAAACATTCAATTTTTTTATATTTGTATGAAGTTTCATGACTCTGTAGTTTATGTTAATTTTTTTAACTTTTAATTTTTTTTTTTTTTTTGCCTCCACAGAAGCACCAACGGGATCTGCATCAAGTAATATATTTTGCATACTTATGTATTTTTTGGGTGTTGTATTATTCAAGCTGAAACATTACATTTTTAATATTTGTATGCAGTTTCATACCTGTTAAATATATGTTAATTTGAACATTACAATTTTTTTTTTTTGCCTTTACAGAAGCACCATTGGCAGTTGTGTCAGGTAGTGGGTTTAGCATACTTATACAGTTTTATAGGTTTTATGCATATTAATTTTTTATGCATTTAAATTAGCATTAAATTTTTTTCTTTTGTATGCAATTTTATGAATGTTTGGTTTGTGTTAATTTAAACTTTAATTTTTTTTCGCTTCTCCAACAGCACCCCTTGCAGTTATTTCAGGTAGTGTGTTTTACATGCTTATGTAGTTTTGTGGGTGTTATGTGTATTAAAACATAAACATTCAATTTTTTTTATGTTTGAAGTTTCATGACTGTAGTATATGTCAGTTTTTTTTTTTTTTTTTTTTTGCCTCCACAGAAGCACCATTGGCATCAGTGTCAGGTAACATGTTTTCACACTTATGCATTTATATGGGTGTTATGTGTATTTAAATATAAACATTAAATTTGTGAAGTTTGTATATAAATACATGATTTAATTGTTTATATATATATATATTTTTTTCTTAACAGCAACACATTCTTTAGTTGCAACAGGTAAAGTGAATTTTAGTCGTTTTTAAAATTATTATGTTAGTCGTTTTATGCAGAATTTATATATATATATTAGGGTTGTTAACCGGAGGATTTCGTGCAATTCCGGAAAAACAACATTCTTTCGTAAGGAGATTGAGAACGCGGAATTACATTTTTTCGTACCGAATGTTACAAAACATTTAAAATCGCCGATGTTCATTTCGCAAAAGCCACTTCCGAAATTTAGCATTTCGCAAGTTGACATACGAAACAAAACTATTTTGCAACATACGAAAGTAGCGGTTTCATAAGTCGCACTTGCAAAACAAACATTTTCGCCAAACGACGTTTTGAAGTCTATAAAGAAAATTTGTTTGCCAGACTGATTTTAATTGTAAAAATTAACATCTTTAAATCCCAAAATGTTTATAATGAATTTTTATAACTCAGTATAATAACTATTAAATTTTTATGGTTTTATTTTTAGAAATATTAATAAAAAATAAAATTTCTTTCGAAACGAAAGTATTTCGGATCACAGCATACGAAAGAATTCTTAACGGAAATCAACTTACGAAACGTGCCATAATAAATATATACAACGATGTTTTTTGAACTCATTACGTATATTAAAAATAAGAATGATGGGTAGGAATATACATGTTTTTTTTTTAATAGCATATGAAATTTTTGAAACAGGTTCGAATATGCTTAAGCAAATAGTAAAAACAAGGCTCAAAAATATGCTTTAGCTTAAGCATATTTCTGATAAAATATACATATTTCAATAATTTCTAAAAGTGTGCACGTTACTAAAGTTCTAGCAGATTTTAAAGGTATTTAGAGTCCTGTTTGAATACGCTTTTCGAAGTATAGATCTTAGAAAATATTGTTTTTTAATTTTAATAAGATATAAATTTGAAAATAAGATTGTATAGTTCAATCAGTTAGATACGTGATAATTCGCCGCAGAGATCCGGGTTCGCATCCCGCAGCCATTGTAACTTTTGTTCATTAAACTCTTTTTACTTAAGATAGCATTTTTTGACCTCCATGTTCTATATTACAGATCTTTCGTCACCTTCACAATAGTGACAACCTCTCTTCTGTTAGTTATTCTTTTAAGATTGAGTTCATTGTGCTTAATTCAACACGTTTCCCTTGCTTTACTAAGTTCTACTTAAATTATGATGAAATGTACGTAAAACAACTTTTTCAAATAATATAAATCATTTTGCTTTAAATCTTTTGCTTTTTGTACTAGACATCTGTCCTAAATATTTTGTAATAATTTCTAGCTAACTCTGAGTCTAATATAACCATTTCTGAATATAATTTCCCTGAGGCTCCTACAGCCTAATGTGTTCCATTAAAAGTAACTTGTTTTTGAGTCCAGATATTAATTACAAGCATCTAAAGGTTCACATTACTATTCATTTTCCTGATATATAGAATCCTATTTGCATTCGTATCTCTTTCTGTAAATTCTGTTTTATATAGTTTCTTAATTGTATATTAAATAAATATTACTATTCACTTAGTTGAATGAACGTATAGCTCATTCAGTTAAGACATTTGGCCGCGTAGACCCAGGTTCACATCCCGCTGTTTCACATATATTTCTTCTCTTTTTACTCTTTGCTGATATCATTTACCTTTAGAGAGATCTCTCGTTCTTTATAATAAAGTATTTAATTGTTTATCACACATCCTCTTTATACTTTTTAAAAAGAAAGGCATACTGTTTATCTGTTCATTGAGAGTCCAACTTAACGGGATTTTACTGTATATATATGTATATATTTATATATATATGAATATATATATATATATATATATATATATATATATATATATATATATATATATATATATATATATATATATATATATATATAAAAGGTATATTTGTATAAACATTTGAAGAATCATTTGACAACATTTTTTTATAATTTTATTATTTATTATTTAAACTGTTAACAGTTAATATCTTAAAAATATCGTAACATAAAATCTTTTGCGTCTTTTTCGTAACTGCACATTCCGGAATGCTCCTTCCGTAATGAACTATTTCGTAAGTATTCTTACGAAATGATTTGTTTCGCAAGTCTTCTTTCGTAATGCGTTATTACGGAATTTTATTTATTTATATTTTCGTATAGAGCGTTACGGAATGTGCATTTTCGCATGTGCAACTTCCGCAATAACAATTCTATTACGGAAGATAAAAATGCGAAATTTTCGTAAGTTTTGTTTTTCGGCGAACAACCCTAATATATATATATATATATATATATATATATATATATATATATATATATATATATATATATATATATATATATATATATATATATATATATATATATATATATATATATATATATATATATATATATATATATATATATATATATATATATATATATATATATATATATATATATATATATATATATATATATATATATATACATATATATATATATATATATATATATATATATATATATATATATATATATATATATATATATATATATATATATATACATATATATATGCATATATGGTATGTAATCAAATTTATTGCTTTTTTTTAGCATCTTGGGAGAGTTTCCTTTTATATCGCTCCCAGCACCCAGGCCCATTATCACAGAGGGCCTTCTTCCGGTGGTGCCAATATGGGGGAGATGATCCCTCCTTTAGATGGAGGAGACAGACCCCATATGGGGCCACCGGTAGGAGGAGTGGTGCTGGGAGGCAGAATGACCAAAGGTCAAACATTATGAATTTTTATCAGTAGTTTTTTTTGTGTGTTAATTTATTTATTTGTTGTAAATATATCTTTACGTTTCAAAAAAGTTGTTTTTTAGTTTCGATTTTTGCAAGTATTTTTATTTATTTTTGATATTTTAATTTTTTAATTTTATATTTATTGATTTTTATTTCTGATTTGAGAGTCTAAACTTTCAAAACAACTCTTTTATGGTTAAATGTTAAATAATTTTTTTAATAATTTTTATTTATTTCATATAGTTTTTGATTTCTTGATAGTAAATATTTTGTAATTTAGCTACAATTTTTTCTTATTCTATTTGTTTGTTTTATATGCCTAATTGTTGCATTATACACATATTAATGTTTATTATTCTCTTTAGATTTTTATTATAAAAAAGTAATCATTAATGATAGCCACATGTGAACTATACGATGTTTCATGTTAGACAAGTTTTATTTGCAATTTGCAATTTGGCATGTCGTTTTTTTATTTGTAAATAATTTTACTATTTAATTTAGTTATTATTAGCATTAATAAGTTGTTAAAATTGTTATAATTTTATTTTAATTTATTTCTAAAATATTTTGTTTTATTACTTTAAATGTAATACTTAGTGGTTCAACTTATGTTTAACTTTTAGGTTTTTCTCTGTTTTAAACCAGTTAAGTTAAGACTTTAGGTCAATAACTTTTATTAGAAAATATATAAATAGTCTTATAGAGTTTATATTGATAATTAGAAATGCACATATTATGATTTTCCATTTTAGATTAGTATAACAAAAAATTAATCAAATCAAGTTTTATCAAACATAGTTTCTTAGTTATGTCAAATAACTTGAGAGCTGAAATAAGAAGAAATTGTCGGAATGAGAAAAATGAGGCTAGGCGAGAAGAACTTAATCGTCGCCAAAATGAAAGAAATGAGGCAAGGCGAGAAGAAATTAATCTTCGCCAAAATGAAAGAAATGAGGCAAGGCGAGAAGAAATTAACCTTCGCCAAAATGAAAGAAATCAGGCAAGGCGAGAAGAAATTAATCGTCGCCAAAATGAAAGAAATCAGGCTAGGAGAGTATTACATAGACGTGGAATGCATTGCATAGCAAGAAATAATGTTTTTATAGTGAGTAATTACCTTGGAGAAATGAACCATATTTGTCAATATTGTGGTGCCAAAAAATTTTTAAATAGAACACATTTTCTGTGCTGCCATTCTGGAAAAATTGCGTTAGCTCCACTTTCGCCTTATCCACTGCTCATGCACGATATAATGACAGGCAACCATGTTGATCGTGCTATGAATCAAAATTTCTTCAAGCATATTCGAAACTATGATGCCTGTTTATCTTTTGCTTCATTCACAGCAAGAATAGCTCATCCGTCTGATCATGGGCCACCCTGTTTTAGGATTTGCGTACAAATTGTGCATCGTGTTGGTAATCTGAGACCTGATCAAAATGTTCTGCCTGCATATTGTCAGTTATATGTTTATGATCCTAATACTGCTTTAAATTTTCGAATGGAGCAAAATGATTGTTGCATACGTGAGTTGATGGAATTTTTGCAGACTATAATTAGTCAAGAGAACCCATTTGCTCTTGCATTTAAAAACATGGCTGAAATTGAAGATGAAGAAGTACGTCAAGCAGCTTTAGAAGGTCGACCAACTTCGATTGTTAAAATGTCATTGCTTGAAGGTGGTGATAGACGTCGATACAATCTTCCTTCACATGAGGAAGTTGCCATTGTTTTTGTTGGGGATGATGGTGCTCCACCTCCATCTAGGGAAGTAGTTATATACCCTCGAGGTCAGGCCTTAAAAACAATTTCAAGTATGTCTGCAAATCTAGATCCAATGATATATCCAATATTTTTTCCAAGAGGTGATGCTGGATGGCATGAGCAACTAGAGCATCATCCTGACCGAGCTACACGTGTTAGAAATCGGGTTACTTTGTCTCAGTACTACAATTACAGGCTTTCTGTTAGAGAAACCTTTAATCCTATATTTTATGGTAAGAAGTTTTTTCAACAGTATGCTGTTGATGCATATGTCAAGATTAAAGGTCAGCGCCTTGCTTTTATTAGAAATAACCAAAACAGACTTAGAAGTGAACAATATGATACATTATATGAACATGTAAATAACGCTGCAAATAACCTTAATGTAAAACCAGGTCGTGTTGTTATACTACCATCCTCATATGTTGGAAGTCCAAGGGCTTTAAAAGGAAATTTTGAAGATGCAATGGCAATTATAAAGAGATATGGCAAACCAGATTTTTTTATTATTTTTACCTGCAATCCAAAATGGAAAGAAATTACAGAAAATTTAAATCCAGGTGAGAGCACATCTGACAGACCTGATTTAGTTTGTCGTGTATTTAAGATGAAACTTAAATGCTTCCTAGATGATATTTTTAAACACGGAGTCTTAGGTAAAGTTATAAGTCATGTACAGGTTATTGAGTTTCAAAAACGTGGTTTGCCACATGTACATATTTTATTGCACTTTGTAAATGATGATAAGCTAGACACAGCAGAGGATATTGATAGTTTAATATCAGCTGAAATTCCAGATCAAACTGTTGATCCTAAACTTTTTAAAATTATAAAAACATGTATGATTCACGGACCATGTGGAATTTTGAATCCCAATTCTTCTTGCATGAAAGATGGGATTTGCACAAAAAAGTTTCCTAAAGAATTAAATCCTCACACTGTTGCAACTTTCAATGGCTATCCTCACTACAGGCGTTTAGATAATGGTAGAGTAGTCGTTATAAAAGGTAACCAAGTTGATAATCGATGGGTTGTACCCTAAAACCCTTGGTTATATAAAAAATACCAAGCACATATTAATGATGAAGCTTGCATGTCTATTAAGTCAGTTAAGTATTTATATAAATATGTCTATAAGGGGCATGATTGTGCTCATGTGTTAATTAATGAAAGTCTTGAACATGATGAAATTAACACATATTTAGATTGTCGCTTTGTTTCTGCACCAGAGGCTCTTTGGCGAATATTTGAGTATTCCATAAGTGATATGTCACATACTATTATCCGCCTTCAAGTCCACCTTCCTGATAATCAGAGGGTATATTTTAACGAAGGAGAAGAACGAGTAGCTATAGATCGTGCTGCACAGCGTGACACTCACCTAACCGCTTGGTTTAAATTAAATGCTGAGATAAATGAAGCACGTCAGTATTCTCATGTTGAAATTCCGTATCACTTTGTTTTTGATGGTAAAAATTGCAAGTGGAAAGTAAGACAAAGAGGCAGTGATAAGGTGATTGTGCGAATGTATAAAGTCAATCTAACCAGTGAAGTATTTTTTCTTAGATTGTTGCTTTTGCATGTAAAAGGTGCAATGTCTTTTGAGGATTTGCGTACTATTCATGGCACTGTTTTTAAAACATTTCGTGAAGCATGTTATCGATTAGGTCTATTGCAAGATGACATTGAATGGAGAAATACATTAACTGAAGCTGTAGCAACTCGAATGCCTAAACAAATTAGGCAACTGCTCCATCATATTGACTTTATATGAACCTGATGATCCTTTACACCTTTAGAATACATTTAAAGATTATATGATTGAGGATTACATACACCATTCAATGCCAGTTGTACTTGCTGAACAGACTGCTCTTCGTCAAATTGAATCTATAATTAATCAGAGTGGTAAAACTTTAACTGATTATAATTTGCCTATGATGGAGATATTCAGGTATTTATTGATGAAGCAAATCGAGTTAGACCATTATTAAACGATAATCAGCGTAATGTAGCTGATGCAATCCTTGCTGCACTTAGTGAAGAACCTAATAATGAAAATAAGCATTCAAGATTTTTTTTTATGGATGGGCCTGCCGGTTGTGGTAAAACATTTACTTACAATTATTTAATTGCTGAAACACGCAGCAGGCATATTAGAACTGCAACAGCTGCATGGACAGGAATAGCTGCAACTCTTCTTAAAAATGGATGCACATTGCACAGCTTATTCAAACTTCCTGTTCCAATTTTGGAAACTAGCACATGTAATGTAACTCCAAACTCCATTCATGGTAGATTCCTGAGACAAGTTAGTTTATATTTACTCAATGAAGCATTTATGATACCCAAACATGCTTTGAGTGCTATTGATAAGTTATTACAAGATATTTGTAATAATAAGTTTCCTTTTGGTGGTAAAGTTATTCTTATGGGTGGAGATTTTCGACAAATACTTCCAGTTGTGAAGAGAGGTCGACCAGCAGATGTTGTAGAATCATGTATAAAGTGTTCTGAACATTGGCAATATGTGCAAAGGTTTTCATTAACTGAAAATATGAGGGTTCAGATAGGAGAAGAGGAATTTTCTCAATGGCTTTTAAAGCTTGGAAGTGGAACATTACCTGTCAAGCCTGAAGATCCTTTGCAAGGGTGTATTGAAATACCTGAGCAGTGTTTTCTAAATGATAATAAACCTATTGTGGAAAAGATTTTTGGTGGTGCAGAAGAAGCTGATTATGCAAAACGTGCTATTTTAACACCAACAAATGTTGATTTATTGGCAATAAATGAAGAAGTCCTTCATCGATTACCGGGTGATGTTAAAACTTATTTAAGTTCAGATAGCATTGAAACTGATGATCATAATGAAATTCATAATTTTCCAGTTGAGTTTTTAAATACTTTGACTCAATCAGGTATGCCTGTTCATTGCCTAAAGTTGAAAATTGGTGCTGTTATAATGCTACTTAGAAATTTAGATCTCAAAGGTGGACTTTGTAATGGAACACGTTTGATGGTGCGTGCACTACACAACAATTACATTGATGGTGAGGTTCTAACAGGTGTATCAGCTGGTAACAGGGTATTTGTTCCTCGAGTTCAATTAGCTCCATCAGATTCAAATTTACCTTTTACACTTAAACGTCGTCAATTTCCAGTTAGGTTAGCATACTCAATGACCATAAATAAAAGTCAAGGTCAAACATTTGATAAAGTTGGTGTTTATCTCAAAAAGCCTTGCTTTTCACACGGCCAATTATATGTTGCATGTTCAAGAACAAAATCTTTTAATAGTTTGTTTTTTAAAGTTGATAAAAATGCATTACAAGGTATGTCATTTAACAAATATTACACAAATAATGTTGTGTTTACAAATGTTCTTAATTTATAATTTTGACAAGTTTGTTTATGTTTTTTTTCTTTGCTATATATGTTTATATATGTGAATATATGTTTTTACTTATATATAGATGTTTGTGTTTGTATATGTTTGTTAATATGTGTTTAAGTTTATATTATGTTGTTTCCATGTTTGAAAAGTGGTGTTACTTGGCAACGTGTAGTGCAAGATTGTGATCCTTGCCAGCCAAGTGGTGTTACTAATTAGTGGTGTTACTTGGCACTTAATGCCAAGCGGTGTTACTAAATTGTGGTGTTACTTGGCAGCGTTTAGTGCCAAGCGGTGTTACAAGTGTTGAGCTAGGTTGTGTTGTCTAGCTTTTTTAATTATTTTGGAAACACATAATATCTGAATACATTGTGTAATGTGTACTTACAAATGTCATATGTTGTGTATTATTCAGTAGCGTAGACATGATTTTTTGATGCTTCAGGTTTTACTTTTATTTTCAGACTCTTTCATTACTTTCAGACTCTTTCATTACTTTCAGACTTTTTTATTACTTTTATTACTTTCAGACTCTTTAATTACTTTCAAACTCTTTCATTACTTTCAGACTCTTTTATTACTTTCATTACTTTCAGACTATTTCATTACTTTCAGACTATTTCATTACTTTCAAACTCTTTCATTACTTTCAGACTCTTTCAACTAAACTTAATTGTGTTCATGTTTGTCAAATTCAAATAATTTGTAAAATATGGATGTGGTTGGGGCTTGAAAACAAATATGTTTTAAAAAGGTTTGCTTTCCTCCCTTGAATTTAGCTGCCAATTAGTTAAAAAAGTATTTTTTTTTAAGCATATAATAATAATCTTATTCATTAACAGGTTTTAAATTTCTTATAAAACAACAAAAGTCCTGCCTACACCACTGGTGTTTTTGTTTGTCATTGTGTAATGTTTCTGTTGTGATGTTTTGTGTTGATAGACAGCTTGGCTTACCTTCACGCTGGTGTCTATCGTTAAAAATGATTATTAGCTAGCTTCATTACTGAAACTACTCCTTCTAATCATTCACTAAAAGCCAAGAAATATTTTTTTGAATAAATGCCTAATTTTTTTATCTCACTGTGACTTTTTATCTTTAGCATTGTTGATAAAATAGCTTTTTAAATAAAGAGTGTTTTCAGCCTTTCAATCAAATACTAGAGACTTCCACAAAAGCGATCTCACAAAGTAAGTTTCTTATTTAGTGTTTGATAATTGACTAAGTTTCGTCACCTTTTATATTTTTTTTTACATCTTGTTATGTAATTTTTCAACATTTAGACAACTTTTAAATAACTTTAAACAACTTTTGTATGTGTATTCAGTGTTTTATATAACAATATTTTTCTTCATTTTATAGGTAGATTTCCTGTTATAACTGGTTTAAAAATTATTAATCGTTAATCATTTTTTAAAAGCGTTTACTTTTTCTAAAGATGTATTACTAATCTTCATACCATTTAC